AGCAAGAAGTAGAGCCAAGCATTGTGCAGGCAGACAGCGCATGAGCTTCAGCAACGCGATTCTGCCAACGCACCTGCAACCCTTGCTGTTCCAGTGCTGGACACTGCCCGAGCCCGGGCTGCCAGCGGCCGGGACTCTGCCAGCCTTGATGGGTTTGTGATGTGGACAGATGTCTGCTAGGACCTGGAATGAGGTCACCAGACTCGTTTGACTTGTGGCTGAAGAGTGATGTAAGAGTTCAGGTACCCGGAGGTGAAAGGATATGATGCTCACCCATTGAACCACCCACTCACTAAAAACCAAGCCCTTGGCCAGAAACACATTTTCCTTAACCTAAGGATAGGACAGGGAAAAGGCAGGCAAGGTAATTCTTAAAAACTGAATTCATTCTCTTGGTTTCATAGATTATCACCATGAATACTCATGGCACATCCTAGCAGCTATAATTTTCAAAACCTGAGACACTTACCTAAGCAGCTGTGCCAATTTTGAGGTATTCACATTAACGTATAAACAGGATTAAAAAAAAAAAAAAAAAAAAGCAGAATGTCATTAACATTAGTCAATACAAAAGGGATTCGGTTTTGGTTTTTTGACTTGCAAAATTCTTTCTGCTCATTTACAAGCACAGAAGAAAACAAGATGGATGATTGAGAGGGGTTAATCAATACATCATGCAAAATGGAGGCAAGGAAAACTTCTGGTCTCTCTGCTGGACTGTATTTCTTGCAGTGCCCGATTTATAAAAGAAAAGCACGGCCGATGATGCAGGCAGACGCTGCGGCCTCAAGAAAGGACGTCTAAGCGATAAAAAAAAAAAAAAAAAAAAAAAAAAAAAAAGCAGAATGTCATTAACATTAGTCAATACAAAAGGGATTCGGTTTTGGTTTTTTGACTTGCAAAATTCTTTCTGCTCATTTACAAGCACAGAAGAAAACAAGATGGATGATTGAGAGGGGTTAATCAATACATCATGCAAAATGGAGGCAAGGAAAACTTCTGGTCTCTCTGCTGGACTGTATTTCTTGCAGTGCCCGATTTATAAAAAGAATTCTGTCTCTCCTACATGGGACCAAAGAGTTTATAAAGAAAAAGGCATTTAACACACCCTTCACCTTCAAAGATCTGCTAACACTCTACAGTCCTACAGCCCCCCCAAAGAGAAACGTCTGGGCACGTCCCATACGTTCAAATTCAGTCACCAGTAAGACCTGCCCTCCTACTGGTATGAAAATAAAGAGTTCAAAAACCAATTTATTGAAAACTGGACTATTTACAAGGGCCACAGTGCTTAGCAAAACTGGAAAACCCCCACATTTTCTGAACAAGAAAAAAACAAGATTAAAAAACTTTGAAATCTTTGGAACTCCATGAGAATTGGAGGCATTACGACACCAGAAAGACAATGCATGCTTACCAGTCAGCAAGGAGGAGGATTTTAGTTAAAATAAGGTGGCAGAAAGATGTAATAGCTTATATAAAGCAGCTATGACCTGAATACATCATCCAAGAGAGACTGCAGAGTATGAAATTCAATTTAAAGGATTATTCAAAATCTGTTTTTCACTTACTGTTAGTTCACAACATCCGTTTCGAGTGGTTAATTCTACAGGATACACTCACATAAGCAAGCAGTGGAAGAACTCCATGGAAGCATTAAATACAGGAGCAAAACTGGGCAGTATCTCAATTGCTATGAGAAGAGACAGGTGATGTCGAATGCCATTCATCAAGTACAAGCTATCACCAGCTCAAAACAGATGAAAACACGGCAGCATAACAAACAACTCCCAGGACATCCCATCACAACGTATGTAGCCTTCTGTTTCTAAGTTGGAGGCTCTAAAATCATTACCGTCCTCCTTTTGCTACCCTTCCCCATCCACCTGTTCTGAAATAAGGTTCAAGTTTGCACACAAAGCAACCAAAACCATGGACATGCTCCGAACCATGCTCTATAATGCATTCTTCACACACGTAACACAAAGAGTTCTTTGGCTGCATGAGTTTAAAATAAGATTCTCCTGCATGCTATATGAAATTTCTTTGATGGAAAAAAACCCCTTACGTCCTCCCACATTGATTATCTTCTATCACCAAGAACTGCTGAATACATTAAAAAATTTCAATTAAATTTTAGATACACAAGAAAGTTGGGGTTTTGTCCCCCCCATCCTGCCACCCAAGAGACTAATGCACCTATAAATTTCATAGAAATAATCCACAAGCAGGAGAGAGCTCACCTGAAGCTACAGTACGAGACCAGACTTATTTGACAGCAGACGGTCCATTCAGGGAAGCTTATAAATACACCAACTATGAGAAAAGCTTCAGTCAGGTCCGACAATCAGCGAGATAATTGCATCAGAAATCAGGTTATGTTAATCCCACCAGTTACGGTGCTACCTGTTTAAGAGGTTTATATCCTGACATGAAGAGGACCAAAGCCAGCTCTAGTTTAAAACTGTGGATTTAATTTTACATGCAACACTCAAACCCAAAATTCAAACATGTGAATGCCAAGAGTGTGTGATGCTGCTGCAGCGTCGAGATCACGGATCTCCGAACTGCATGACACGGGGTAATACGTCATTTGCTAGACACCATCCTTCAAGGCATGCCCAATGGATGTCATGAACACCACTTTAGGTGGAAAGGGAACGCCGGGGTTGGGTTTTCCCTGCAGTTCATTATCTGGTCTATATTATTAGCTATGTGCGAGCCTAGATGGCAACAC